CTGTTGAGTCTGCAAACTGCCAATACGACAATGGCTTATCGGCCCAGATCCTGGAGAAAATTTTAGCTGTTTTGGTTGCATGGAAAAGTGCCAGGGGTGGTGGGGCTGGTGGGGAGTGTGGAGCGGACAAGGGAGTCACGGAGAGAGTGGTCCCTCCAAAAAGCAGATAAGGGTGGGGAGGGAAAAATGTCTTTTGGCCAAGGCTTGACTTTGTTTTGGGGTTTCGCTTTAGGTTGACTTACAGTCGCTCTGATCAGGATATGTCCCGAGTGAGGTTATGCAATTGCCTGCACTCAAGTGGTGCTCTCCAATCTCAGTCAGACTGATAAGGGTGTCCACTTCCTTCGGAATACCCTGCAACTCAAATGCTCCACTTGCTGCATTTCCCACGCTAAAGCTAGATGAAGCACCTGTTTGAAGTCCGGTTGGGCATCAGCTAGGTGTTTTTTTTGCCTAGTTATATCATTAATCTCACACTGTTTCGTCTTAAGTATCTTATTAAGGGTTAAACCAAAGTCACAGGCTTCCGACAATCATCGTAACCGAGTCAAAATTCCTGATACAGGTTCCCCTGTATCTCGAATTACCAAGTAAAAGCGATAGCATCTCACAATTAGAGGTGGCTTAGGGTCATAATATTCCTTAACTATGTCCGTTAATTCTTGAAAGGTATTAGTTATCTGGTGCCATAGGGAACATTACTTTCCTGACGACAGAAAAAGCTGCCGCTCCACAGGCTGTCAGGAGAATTACTCATTTTTTGTCCGCCGCAATGTTGTTTGCAGAGAAAAAATAATGCATCTTTCCACATACTGTGCCCAGTCCTCAAAGGCAGGTTCAAATGAGTCAAGTTTATAAAACAAAGGCATGATGTAAGAAATGCCTGCCCAAACTTAGATGATTGTTACAAGAGAGTTTCTTCAGAATTGTGCTTTACTCCTGTCGCCACTGAAATAACTCCAGAGGCCAGTATCTTGTCACCAAGTCTTGCTTTTATTTAAACATGAACAGTCGATGACATTAGTACTACCTCATTCAGATGTCAGGAACCACAGAGTCAGTACCTCTGACACATAACCCTTTTTGTGTGTCAACCAGGGCTCCCTGATTTGATGTGATTAACAGCCCCAATTAGGGAACTCATTCTACGATGTCCAGCTGGCTGACTTCATTAACAATCATTACAGACATATCGCAGACTTAGAGCACATTGCTATTCAGCACCAAACTGACACTGTTCTACAGGACAACAATAAGCTAAAGCTGGCCCACGAGCTAGATCAAGAATGGAAACACTGCCTCCTCTGCAAATGGCAGAATTTACCCTTACACAATTTCAAATCGAGCAGTCTTTCACAAGACCTTCAGACTCTAACTTAAAAAGGTATCAAAGAAGAGCATTTCAGCTTACCTCAGCTGAAGCAGCAGAGTTGCACTATATATGGTGTTACAGGGAAAGAGTAAAGCATCATAGTTACACAAGGTTAATGAACATGGGTATAAAAGAAAGTATTATGTTATGAACTTTCATCTCTTTATGGGTAGAAGAATCAATATTTATTCCTTTACATCAGTTTCCCTTGTTATTCATCCTTAGGATACTTGAATTCCAAAAGGCATTTAATAAACTGTCACAGAAAAATATTATTGGCAAGGTAAGGGCTCATGAAACTATGGGAATCAAATTAGATGGATAGAAATTTGGGGGGGTCAAGAAGCAAAGACCAGCCATGATTCAGGCATTCTGAAGTTGGCAGGTTGTGCGCTGAGGTCCAAGTATACAATCACTAAAAGGGCTATACATTTGTGTGCAAACTTGTTTATTCTTGTACTCCAATTGCCATGCAAAGGGAGGTCTAGTAAGAATCAGTGTTGGGGCCTCAATTGTATATAATGTATGCAAATGACTTTGGGACTTTGACAATGCAAAGCTAAGCAGAAATGTAAACCAGTCAAAATGACACAGCCAGGTACAAAGAGATATACAGACAGGGTAAGTGAGCAGGGAAAATAAAAAGGCATATAAACAATAAACGTAACAAAAAAGAGAGTTTATGCACTTTGATAGTAAGAATAGAAAAGCAGATCGGTTTTCAAAAAGGTATGGCATTTTATATACAGATGGTCAGAGAAACTTGGATATGGGCATATAAGGTTTGCAAAATGTTAGCAGGCAGGTGCAACACAAAATCGGGAACAATGTCATGATCACATTGCTGTATGGGGACTGGAGTACAGAAACAAATGTACTGTTACAAATATACAGCCCTTTGTTAAAGGCACACATGGACCATTGTGCAGTTATGATCACCACTTTTAAGAAACAATATACTTGTTTTTGATGAAGTACAGTGATGGCTCATCACTTTACACATTCTTCAGGGTCATGCCCTAGGCCCAACCATCTTCAGTTACATCAATGATTTTTCCTTCATCATGAAGTCAGAAGTGGTGCTGTTTGCTAACGATTGCATTGTTTAGCACCATTCGTGACTGCTTGGGTACTAAAGTAGCTCATGTTTATTGCAACATTCAGGTTATGGCTAAGTGACAAATAACTTTCACTGCCACAGAACTGCTAGGCAAAGACCAGCTCCAACAACTAACGCCCTTCAGCATTCAATGGCATTACCAGTGCTAAAGCCCCTACTATCAATATCCTGGGTGCTACCACTGACTAGAAACTGAACTGGACTACCCATAAAAATGTAATATCTACAAGAGCAGGACAGAAGCTAGGAATTCTGCAGAGACTCCCCTCCTGTATCTCCAAAGCCTCTCACCTTATATAAAAAGGTACCAGTCAGGACTGTGATGGAACACTCTTGACTTTCCAGGATGAGTCCAGCTCTAATAATAAAGAAAACTGACACCAAGACAAAACAGCCTGCTTGATTGGCAACCCATCCACCATCTTTAAACATGTATACCCTTCATCAATGGTAGTGTGTATCATCTAAACAATGCACTATAGCAACTCAGGGTACATCATTCCAAATCCGTGATCTCTACCAGTTAGAAAAACAATGCAACAGATGTACAGGAACACCATGAAGCTATGCAAGATATTAGTTAGGACACACAGGTGGAGAACTGTGCACTTCTGATCACCATGGTACAGAAAGAACTGGAAAGAGAATGCGATGGAGATTCACCAGGATGTTGCCTGGACTGACACATTAACAGTTATGAATGTAGATTTGATAGGCTGGGGTTAGTTTTCCTTGCAACAAGGGTGGTGGTGGTGGTGGTGGTTGGAGGAATGGGAAGGGATTGGAAATGCTGTTTCTAAGTTATGAAAAACATAGCTTCGGTAGATTGTAAGAAACTCTTCCCCCTCAGTGGAGGGATCAATAACCAGGGACCATAGATTTACGATAAAGGGCAGAAGATTGAAGGAAGAGATTTTTCACTCAGAGGGCAACAGGTATCTGGAAACTCTCTGCCTGATAGGTTGGTAGAAATGGGACCCATTGCAACATGCAAGTAGTATGCTACTGACCACGTGTCAGCAAATGGAGCTTGAGTAGATAGGTGCTTAATGACTGGTGTGGACTCAATGGGCCTACGCTGTAAAATGCTGACTCTAGTCCCCAGGCAAACCATAAGCCATACTGAGTTGAAACTGCTGTGCTGTTCCTTAGTTGGTCAAAATCTTGGAACTCCCTTCCAAATAGCACTGTAGGCTTCAAAACACAACTGGAGATATTACCTTATTTAAGTAACTAAACCATCCTGAGGGAGTTACCTGCAACTAACCCAACTCAGAGTTAAGTAAAGGTCAGTGCAACGAAGCCAGTTTCCCAGTGTATCTTGGCTTAAATCCCCATATTCTGCTCCCATTTGAAAATTTTGAAGTTATGCTAAATTTTTATAAAACACTGGTTAGGTTCCAGCTGGAGTACTGTGTCCTATTCTGGGCACCATACTTTAAAGATGAATGTCAAAGCTTTGGCAAAGGTGCAGAGGAAATTTATTAAAAACAGAAACGATGTAATTAGGGATAACAGAGTGGTGGAGCTGGAGGAACACAGCAGGTCAGGCTGCATCAGAGGGCTGGCCTGCTGTGTTTCTCCAGCTCCACACTTATCTCTGACTCCAGCATCGGCAGTTCTTACTATCTCTGAGCAAGTTATAACCATGTAAATAGGGTTATTTTTGCTATAGTAGTAATACGTGAAGAGATTTGATTGGCACATTCAAAATTATGAAGGGTCTTCAAAAAGCATTTCTAGAACACAAGGATCAGTAATCAGAGGATCCAAGCTTGAGATAATTAGTAAAAAGAACTAGAGAATGAAAAAAATTAGGTTATGATATAGAACGTTAGCTTTGAAAGAGTGATGAAAACAGACAAACAGCTTTTACAAACGAGAATGTGAAAAATATTTGAGAAAAGTTTGCAGTTATACAGGAAAAGCCAGGAAATGGGATAAAATGGACAGCAATTTTCAGGGGGCCAACAGAGTCATGACGAGTTGAACAGTCCCTAAGATTTCAAAATCCTTTCTAAAGGGGAAGAAATCGGAGTCATCCTGGTTTTAGATTATATATAAAGCTGAATTCCTATTCTTAACTTTCTATCAGACTGAAATTAAGCCCAGTTCCTTCCACAAAAAATTAGTGTGAGCTTCCAACAACATACATTCCCTCATAAATAAATCTAAGGGCATTATTGGAAACTCCCACCAGAATTTTAATTTTTTTTTCCTTCTATATGAAATGATGATAAATTGATCCATTTAAATTTTCTTGCTACCATTTTTGGATTCTAAATCTCAAAAGTCTGAATCTGGAGAGGAAGTGAGTTCAAAGTTAAACAATCATCTTCAAATAATTTTAAAGCATATCTTGATGAGCATAGCAGTGGAAAATATTAAAGAAACAGCAAGCATTACAATGTTATTATAATTCACTGAAAAATCAACAGATCTGTAGGCTTTTAAAACCAGTTAATTGTTAATATTAGTGTTATTTTTATGGGATCAAAATTCACTTACTTCAGAAATAATCTTCTGTATATCCACATCATTGTGAAATGAGACAAAGCCATATCTGAACATAAAAAATAAATACTACATGAGAAGGAAAAGACTGGCATTTTTATTGCACTTTTCACAACTTCAGGACATTCCAAAACAGTATTACAGCCAATTAAGTACTTTGAAATGAAAACAGAAAATGCTGGAAATACTTAGTAGACCAGACAGCATCTGTGGAGACTGATAACATTTTAGATCACTAATAGTTTTGTCAGAGCTGGGGGGAAAGAAATACGATACACAAACAGGTTTTAATAAAGCAGGTAAAAGGAAGGGGGAGGAAATAAGAGGGGATGAGACAAGCAACGTAACAAAAAGATGTGCAGAGAGGAAGCATAGATGGAAATTGCATGATCATTACCAATAGCTGTCATCTGAGAAACATGAGGGGTGCAGCTATGACCTGAAATTGTTTAAACAAACAGAGCCATGAGTGGATACAAAATGCCCAAAATGAAAGAGAAGATGAAACTATATTGATCTTCATTAGAAGTCTAAGAGACAAAGGGGCCAGAGTGCAAGTGAAGCGAAAAATTAAAATGAGAAATTGGCTGGAAGGTCAGGGTCACACTAGTAGACTGCATGGTGGTGTTCCAAAAGGCAGCAACCCAATTTGTTTGGCCTGTTCACATTGTAAGCAACACATAAAAGACCTGTTATGAAGTTTGCTTTGTAACCACCAAAGCAATTTCTAGCCAATGCAGTGATTCTGAATTGTAGTCAGTGTGCTAATTGAGTAAAGAACTGGAATGTCACAGAGGGTTTGGTCCTTTCACAATGGCCAAGGAAAAGGGCATGTTAAATAGTGTTTGTTGGTGCTATCATGCGGAATGTGTCAGAAAATAATGAAGTGAACAAAGGAGCTCATAGTATGGAGGACAAGGACATGGGAAAGTCATTTATGGTGCTTGGAGAGTGGAATGGTTGTGAGAAGTGTCAAATGGAACAGACAGCAGTTGCCAACCCCCTAACCCCTCTTAACAATAAGAGGAACACATCTGAATCACAATTAGTAAGTTGACATTGTCAGAATAGACCTGGCAGAGAAACCAGGCAAACAAAATACAGAGTGTAAATCAAGATAGCTGCAGAAGTCAGCAAGTTTAAGGCAAGCAATGATCAAAAGGCTCAGCCTTCCATTTGTAGGCCGAGAAGTCAAGTAAGCAGGGTATCAAAGATGGATTGTGTAAAGGGGAGGTAATAAGTTACAACTGGATCAAATAATTAATCCTTTTTGAGTTTGGGCAAGGGCAAATTAGGACACACAGACAATTAATATAGTGCAAAAGTGGGAAGACAAGTGGAACAAAATTACTCCATATATTCCAAGCAAAGCTAGGAACAACACAAAGTCCTGAAGTAGCACTTAATTTGGAGGAAAGATTGTCCACAGTGAGAAAACTTCAGCCAGTGGAGTGTGGAGGTGGATAAGACCTATTGAGGCCTCCAATCAACGAAGTAGTGGAGAGGTTTCAAGGATGTCATGGTGGTAGGCTGTCCTTTGTGCAAAGGTGATTTGTCTCCTAGATGAATACTATAAAGTGGCAGAGATTGTCAGCAGAATCTTGTTTGTCGAATGAAAGTCAAAAATGTTGAGATAGGGATAAATCAGTTTTCTTGGATAAGAACAGGCTGGAAAAAATCAGTGCACTAGGGTCCCATTCTTGGACCCTGAGGAGCAGCAGCAAGCAGGCTGGGCTGGGGAACTCTTGATGCTGGGGGGCATGGAGTGTCTCCAAAACAGGAGATTAATGACGAGTTCAAAAAAGGAGTCTAAGAAATGATGGCATGGTATTCAGTGGTGGGGTCATGGTCAAAAATGCCGTAAGAGTGGAATTAAGGCTCTACTAGAAGAGGGTGTGTTGGTAAACAATGGTGCTGCTCTTGGCAGCAAGTCAAATGATAGCAGGGATGGACCCGATAAAATAGTGTTATAATTTCAGAGAAACGTAGGTTATTCAAGGGACCACTGAAATGGAACTAGCTGATGAGAATTACTGGTATCATAATAAAAATATCCGGAGAGTAAGAGGCCAAACAAAGGGGTCTAAATAGAATGGGAATTCTGAAGACAAGAGAGAAAGACAATACTAGGGCCTCTGCACTCAACAGATCACTGCCAACACCAAACAACCCAGCTTTCTGTGGAGGAGAAAACAGAGTTAACGTTTTGGGTCCGGTGACCCTTCCTCAGAACGGAGGAAGGGTCACCGGACCCGAAACGTTAACTCTATTTTTTCCTCCACAGATGCTGCCAGACCTGCTGAGCTTTTCCAGCAACTTTGTTTTTACAGCACCCGCAGTTCTTATGGTTTTTAAACCAGCTTTCTGCTTTTCAGCCCTCTGAAAAGACAGTTTTCTCCACAAGACCACAGTTCACTCCTCCATCAACACCTTCCCATGCAAGTGCCAGAGGCAGAGCACTTGTCCTTTTAATCACCTGTCTTATCCAGGTCCCCAAAACACTTGAGATTCAAGAAGTAAACATTTCAATTTAGTACACTATATTAATTTGTCCAAAATACACACACAGTCTCCTTTGTAATTAAAAGACTAAACACTATACAATATTCTGTAAACATTCTGCGTTCTGGATTAGTCTGAACTCCCAATACTGTCATTTAAACTTCAGCCTACCCAGTTCCCCGACACCTGTCCTTGGCTTTCAACTGTGTTCCAATGAAGCTCAACAGAAGCGGTATAAACTGTATCACAGATTGCCTCCGGTGTTTTCTGACATCACTGCATTCAATATTTTCAGACTGTTACCATAACTACTTTTTGGAAAGGTAGCTGTTGTTGACGATTCTGATTTTTCTAACTGCTTCTCAAAATGCATTTGTTTTATTATGTCTTTTACTGTGCACTACATTTTAATCAATCCGGATTTCCACCCGTTCACAGGGCAGCCACGGTGGCACAGTGGTTAGCTTCACAGCGCCAGGAACCCAGGTTCAATCCCACCTTCCGGTGACTGTCTGTGTGGAGTTTGCATGTTCTCCCCGTGTCTGCGTGGGTTTCCTCTAGTTTCCTCCCACAGTCCAAAGATGTGCAGGCTAGGTGGACTAGCCATGCTAAATTGCCCATAGTGTCCAGGGATGTGTAGATTAGGTGGGTTGTGGGAGATCAGTCTGGGTGGGATTCTCAGAGGGTCATTGTGGACTTGTTGGGCCGAACGGCCTGTTTACACACTGTAGGGATTCTATTATTCTATGATACAACTTACACATATTGCCGCCCCAACCACCCACTGTTTTCCTTGCCTCTACAATTATTACACACTAGAAATCTAACTATCTAGTTCTGATAGAAAGTCAGATACTCTCAGATCACACCCAGAATGTACGTTTCATTCACTTATCTTCAATGGAATTGGGCACAAAAACTGGACACATTGAACATCAGAGTAAAATGCAGGGACAGCCCCGGTAAATCACTGTTGCAATCATGGGTGCCAGAATCAAAGTTGGATTAAAATTTACTAGGTGGTTAAATAAGTTAAAAAGTTAAATTGACAGTCCTATTGTCCAACAAGCAGTTGAGATTATAAGAATGGCTGAAACCAAACTGAGAACCTCAGGAAAAACTTCTAACATAAATGAATGGACCCAAAAATGAAAGCACTGCAAACCAGGCTGGAGGCAGAAAACCTTCTACTAGATAAAAACGATTTGGATAGAACTTAGGAGAAATTGGTGGTATCGGGGACAGTGAAAGTTACAAAGAGATCTTGATCAATTGGGTCAATGGGCTGGGGAGGGGTAGATGGAGTTTAATTTGAATAAATGCGAGGTATTGCACTTTGGTAAAACAAACAACGCCAGGACTTGTACAATTATTGATAAGGCACTGGGTAGGGTTGTTAGAGACACCTGGCGTTCAGGTACGTAAATTTTTTGAAATTTGCGTAACATGTAGACAGGGTGATTAGGAAGGCATTAAACACGCTTGCCTTCATTATTCAGGCTTTTGAGTACAGGAGTTGGGACGTCACGGTGAGGTTGTACAGGACATTGCTGATGCTTCTTCTGAAGCACTGTGTACAGTTCTGGTCACCCTGCTAAAGGAAGGACATTATTAAATTGGAAGTGTTTGGAAAAGACAGACCAGGATGTTGCTGTAATGTAAGGTTTGAGTTGTAAAGATGGGCTGCGTAGGCTGGGACCTTTTTCAACCAGAGCATAGGAGGTTGAGGAGTGACCTTATAGAGGTTTAGAAAATCATGAAAGACATAGAAATGGTGAATAGCAAGGGTCTTTTCCCTAGGTTGGGGAGTTCAAAACTAGGGAGCACATTTTTAAGGTGAGAGGAGAAAAAATTTAAAAGGACATGAGGGGCAACTTTTTCTTTAAATATAGAGTGGCTTGTAGGTTGAATGAACTGCCAGAGAAAGTGGTGGTTGCAGGTATAGTTACAATATTTAGAAGATATTTGGATAAGTACATGACTAGGAAAGGTTTGGAAGGACATGAGCCAAACACAGACAAGTGGGACTAGATGGTTTAGGAAGGTGGTCAGTGTGTGCTAGTTGGACCAAAGGGTTTGCTTCCACAATTCTAAGCTTTTTAAATGATCCTTTAGACAGTGATAGTCTAAATTAAGTATCTGCTTTGTAACAGCACAGCAGTCCCATGCACCAATGGCACAGCTGCAACGCTTGGCTCCTCTATAAGTCCCAAAAGCACCAGAAATTTGAACAAGCCAGCAGTGTAACTCATTTGAGAAATGAATGATGGGTATGGGGCAGAAATCATGCATTCTTGAAGGGGACTTGACAGTGTAGCTACAGAGAGGTTGTTTCTCCTTTGGGAGTTTAGGACCAGAGAGCATAATCTCAGACTAAGGGTCATCCATTTAAAATGGAGATGAGCAAGAATTTCTTCTCTTAGAGGGGAGCAAATCTGTGAAAGTCTTTTCTGCAGAAAGCTGTCTAGGCTGTGTAGTTAAGAATATTCCAGGCTGAGGTGGATATATTTTCAAATCAATAAGGGTATCAATGGGTTTGCGGAAAAAGCAGGAAAGAGGAATTAAGGCAAGACATGGATTCAAGATGGCAGCCTCATGAAGCTACAGTAAATTGGGAATTCATCGAGTGAGGTTGGTGAGAAGCAAGGGAAGGGAGTATGATCAGCAAACACTGATTGACGTGAAAGAGGGCAAAGTTGGATCAACTGGATATCTTGATGATATTAAGTAGGAACGAGAAACATTTCCTGGAGATATGGTGAAAATGCTTAGTCAGCTAGGATTGGAATCAGTAGGATAAATCCAGACAGATGGATATGGAAAAGTGCTGGAAAACATTTGGCTGGGCAGCGATAACAAACATGTCTCAGAAAAGTGAGAAGGGTTAGGAGTAAAGGGCCCAAGTGAGCACCAGCAAACCATCTGTCCTCTGCAGTCAGGAAAATAGCATCTGGTGAGGTACTGTGGTATCTTTGTGCTGTTGAGAATAGGAACTGGCAAAAAAGGCTTCTTATCACTTTGAGACCACAGCATACAGGCTTGTTTGAAAGAAATCAGCAGCAATAGTTTGGAATGATTTGATGGCATGAAAATGGAGAGAAGTTGTAACTTTCATAAACACTGACAGAGTTGACTTTGATTGTTCATGCATGAAGGTATGAAACAAGGAGACGACATCACCTCAAATCACTGCTTCGTTTGGAAAACACAGGTAAATTACATTTCACACACCCAGTTAGCTCTAACTGAGTCAACAGGCCCAGCATCTGATGGAATGACCAGGAAAATTCAGTGACTTTTCCTCCTCTATGAGTGCAAGGGAAATTCTAACTTTAGATTTTATTGCTGCAAATTTAAACCGCAGGTAGCAAGAAAGTTAAGTTGAAAACAAAAGTAAAATGCTACTAGTAATACCAAAACAGGAATGCAAAGGGAATCTAGAAAGCATTATTACTCAAACCTAAATGAAGGAAATAATTCAACTCATTTAAGAAATTAACTTTTAACAGCCAGAATACACTTTATTTTCAGCAAACATTTCACATGAAAATTAAGAGTCAACCATACAGCTCATTGAGCTGATTTTCAGGCTCAACTTGTTTCCCATCTGCTCCCCATATCCACCATCTCTCAAAGCCTCTCCTTTCCCACAGTATTCTGAGCAACTCTTGTCTGTTTGATCTTATGTTAATTGGTATGGAGCTAGAGGTCACCACATTTGAGGTTCCAGATCCAAAACAGAGAAGCAGAGTCCTTGAATATTTTTAAAGACAAATTAATACATTCTTAAACAAGTAGTTGAAAGATTATCAGGGGTAAGCAAGGACTCTTGCATGCAGTAGTCCCTACCTCTGAGCTGGAAAACACAACTTCAAGTTTCACCTGCTCAGAAATCAACACTAGTGAACAGGTTGATTAAAAATATCTATCAGGGGTAGATGAGACTGTGGATTTGAGGTCACAATCAGATCAGCCACAATCTTACTGAGTGGCAGAGAACGCTCGAGAGGCTGAACTGCCCATTTCTGCACCTGATTCATATGTTCCTATATGCGTTTTTTTTTTAATAAATTCAAACCCTAACTCCCCAATCTCCCATGGTAGAACATTATTCAATAATGGTTCCTACATGGGTCATGACAAACGAAATCTCCCTGTCCTCCCCACTAGCCATACGGAGACGACTTTAATTCTGGCCCTATATCTTCAGAACTTCTAGTCATGGCTACAGACATAGACATACGAGGCATTGTTTTATTTTATTCATTGACGGGATGAGGGCATCACTAGCTAGGCCAGCATTTATTGCCTGTCCCTAACTGCCCAGAAAGAAGTTAAGAGTGAACCACATTGCTGTGGATCTGGAGTCACAGACCAGGTAAGGATGGCAGTTTCTTTCCCTAACAGACATTTCTGAACCATGGGGTTTTCTGACAATTGACAATGAATTCATAGTCATCGTTGGACAATTAATTCCAAATTCAAATTCTATCATGGTGGCATTTGAACCAGGGTTCCCAGGACATTACCTGGGTCTCTGGATTAACAGTCCAATGATAATACTATTAGGCCATCACTGCATTCTCCACAAACAATGGGAAACTATCATAAATTACATTAATCCTCTAAATAAAAAGTGATGATAGCAGGTTCTATAAACAATATGCCCACCTATTTTTTCTTCACCAGCATCTTAATCAGGTGAAGTCCAAAACCTAGCAAATGACTACTTTTGCCAAACTAATTACAAAATTAAATTTCAAAACAAGGACCAAAATAAATTTGAGCATGAACAAGAGTATATTTGATTTGTTAATAAATATCTTACCCTCTGGAAACACCACCTCCATCGCTGATTATTTTAACTTGCTTCACAGCACCATACCTTGTGAAGAAACCTCGCATCTCATCCTCACCCATCTGAAACGGATAAAATATAGCAGTTTATTCTGTTTGAAGACTCTACAAATACTTGGAAAAATAGAGCAGCATAAGTATCTGTGCGTTATTAAAAGTTTAAAATTTAAGGTTATTTCTTAGGATCTGCAACACTTTCAAGGCCAAAAAAGAAAAAAAACTGAGCAATACAGGTTGATGTCTTTAGGTCCTAAACACCACTTCACCCAATCAGGCAGTCAAGTAGAGAGTTTGTAGTTGTAAAAACTGCATAGGCCAATGTCCCTTAGGTTTCCAAAGTTTCAGAATATCATGCTTTAGTGTAGCATGATTTCTTCTCTGCTTCCCCATCCAAAAGGAGACTTCCAATTTTTGGGGTAACAGAATTTCTATCTAGTAATTTGAATATTACTACAGTCACAGATTTAATGGTCCAAATTGGAATCCTCATGAAACATTTGTTAGGAAACTGAATGCTACCTTTCATGGAACAATCTATGGTGTGGAGGGAAAGCTTGACTTTTATTCAAACAAGATGGTTTTTTGCACCCCGGTTTACAAAAGCAATTCTACGTACACCGTTCTATAATTTTTCAAGCCAAAAGATGACCCGTTCTCCTGACTGTTTTTCAAACTGGCCCAATCTTTAATTATTTCCAAGAAAAGCATTAATAGGATCCTCAATTCAAAGAAAACCGAGAACTTGGCAATTAATCTAGTAATTATTTTCCATGCAGGAGAAAGGGAGGTGGATTGGTCGAGATATTTATTAAAAATCTACACAAACAACAAAGATCCTACAAATAAAAACAAAGTAACCAAGATGGACAATTTCAAAATTAGGATACAAGTGAGGAGGAGAGGAGGTCCTTGTTTTTCCTGAAAAACAGAGCAGGGCAGCAGCTTCATAAAGAGAACAGCGGACCTATGGAGTGGGTAGATGTAGAATACTGTTAATATCTCTGTTGTAAAAGCAATAAGTGATTCAATTATTGGAATAAGCACTTTGGGCAATGAAGCCTTGTCCTGGGATGGGTGATTGTGTTGACCTTGTCTCCTCTCCTTCCAAGCCTCCTGCAGTCTTTGTTTGGCCAATTTCCCAACATTGATAGGAACAGGATTTGCCTGTATGCAAGTATCTACTCCATTACTGCATCTGAAAAAGCAAACAGCTCATTTTGAAAGAAATATCCCAGCGGCACTGATCTGAACTGAATATAATGACATTTTGCTTTAAGGTGTGTTCATCTGAAGCAAAACAACTGAACGGTCATATCAGCTAATAAGAAAAAGAACAGGAAGTTCACTTGGCCACTTGAGACTACACCATCATTCAATAAAATCACAGCTGAACTTCAAAATCATCTCCACCCTGATGTCACTTAAATCCCCTCAAGTACCCCAAATCCATCAACTTATTTTTTTTTCTTAAATATGCTCAGGAACTCGACATCTACAGCCTCTAGTGTAAAGAAATTCTAAGATTCACACTACAGTGAAGAAATTTCACGTCTCAGTCCTTTGCAGCCGCTACCTTCCTCCAAGGCCATGCTCTGCACTCAAAACTTTCCAACCATAGAACACCTCTATTTCAAGCTTTCTATATGTTAAGCATTCATAGAGATATACAGCACGGATACAGATCCTTCTGTCTAACTCGTCCATGCCAACCAGATATCGTAGATTAATCTAGTCCCATTTGACAGAATTTGTCCTACATCCCTCTAAACCCTTCCTGTTCATATACCCATCCAAATGTCTTTTAAATGTTGTAACTATACCAGTCTCCACCACTTCCTCTGGCAGCTCATTCCGTATACACACCACCCTCTGCATGAAACAGTTGCCCCTTAGATCCCTTTTATATTTTATTTTACCTTAAACCTATACCCGCTAGGTTTGGACTCCCCCACCCCAGGCAAAAGACCTTGTCTGTTTACCCTATTCATGCCCATAATGATTTCATAAACCTCTAGGGTCACCCCTCAGCCTCCGACGCTCCAGGGAAAATAGCCCCAGCCTATTCAGCCTCTCCCTATAGCTCAAACCCTCCATCCCTGGTAACATCCTTGTAAATCTTTTCTGAAACCTTTCAAGTTTCACGACATCCTTCTGATAGCAGGGAGACCAGAACTGCACACAGTATTCCAATAGTGGCCTAACCAATGTCCTGTACAGCCACAAAATGACCTCCCAGCTCTTATACTCAATGCACTGACCAATAATAGTGAGCATACCAAACGCCTTCTTCACTATCTTATCTACTTGCGACTCCACTTTCAAGGAACTATGAACCTGTACTCCAAGGTCTTTGCTCAGCAATACTCCCCAGGACCATAAAGAGTACAAGTCCTGCACTGATTTCCCTTTCCAAAATGCAGCACCTCACATTCACCTAAATTAAACTCCATCTGTCACTCCTTCACCCACTGGCCCATTTGATCAAGATCCCGTGGTACTCGGAGGTAACTTTTTTTGCTGTCCACTACACCTCACTTCCAGAGAATACAATGCCTATCCCAGGAATAATTTTACCAACCTTTTATTGCACTTACTCTATTAGGTAAATAGATACTTCCTTAGCTGAAGAAATCCAAAAACTGTACAAAAATATCTCAGTCAAAAATATATTCAGTCAAATTTGTTAGACAAAGTGATCAAATGTATAGATAACAGTTATGCAGTTGATGTAGTCTACATAGACTTCAGTAAGGCATTTGACAAGGTCTCACACTCCAAATTGGTTAAGCAGCTCCACGTGATCCAGGGCAATTTGGATCCAAAAAAGTGGCTTAGTGACACAAAGCAGACAGTGATGGTCAAAGATTGCTTTTGTGACTGGTAACCTGTGTTCAATGTCATACCACAAGGTTTGGTACTGGGGCTTTTGCATTTTGTTGCATGTTAATAATCTAGAGATGAATGCAGAGGTACAATCAGTAAGTTTGCAGAGAATATAAGAACTGATGGTGTGGTACACAGCAGGGTTTAAGAAAGCCTTAGGGAACAGGATGATACAAATGGGCCAGACAGATGAGAGGAACAGTAGCAAATGAAAGTTTATTCCTAAGAATGAGAGATGATACAATAAAAGGAAATACACATTAAATGCTAACACACTAGAAAGTACAGAAGATCAGAGGGGTCTTGGTATGCATGTCCATAGATCCTTACAGGCAGGAGGGCAGGTAAATAAGGTGTTTGAGGCATATGGGATAGTTGCCTTTATTTGTCAAGGCACTGAATACAACAGCAAAAAAGATGTAATGGAGCTGTACACACCATTAGTTAGGCTACTGCTCGTACTCTGTGCATTTCTGATTGCTACACCATAGGAAGGATGCAACTATACAAAAGAAGCTGCAGAAGAGATTCACCAGGATATTGCCAGGGCTGGAAAAATTTAGATATGATAGACTAGATTTCAATGTTTTTATTTGATTTAATATTGTCACATGTACGGAGATAGTGAAAACTATTGCACACCAAGCAGACAAATCATACCTTACACAAATACAAGTACATAAAAGAGTAAAAGAATATGGTGTCACTACTACAGAGAAGGTGCAGAGAAAGATCAACTCCAATACGAGAGATCCAGTCACAAATCTGATAACAGAAAGGAAGAAGCGGTTCTCAAGTCTTTTGGTACGTGTTTTAAATTTTTTTGTATCTTCTGCCCAATGGAAGAGAGTACAACCAGGGTGGAAGGAGTCTTTGACTATGTTGGCTGCTTTCCCGAGGAAGCAGGAGGTATAGCTGGAGTCAATGGAATGAAGGCTGATTTGCATGATGGGCTAAGCTATGTTCACAACTCTAATTTCTTGTGATCTTGGCAGGGCAGTTGCCATACCAAGCTGTGATGCACTGGGATACACTGCAGAAAGCATCATATCTCTAAAAATTGGTAAGAGTCATTGTGAACATGCTGAATTTCCTTAGTGTTCTGAGGAAGTAGAGGCATTGGTGTGCTTTCTTGACTGTAACACTGACATGGATGCACCAGGACAGATTGTTGGTTATCTTTACTCCTAGGAACTTGAAGCTCTTGTCCACATCCACTTGTTCGCCACACTGCTTCCTGAAGTCAATGGCCATCTCCTTTGCTTTGCTGACACTGAGGAAGAGATTGTTGCCTTTATACCATGCCACTAAGTTTTGTCTCTTCATTGTTTAAGATCCGACCCATTATGGTGGAGTCATCAAGCAAACTTGCAAATAGAGCTAGAGCCGAAATAGGCCACAGTTGTAGGTGTTTAAGGAGTATAGTAACGGACTGAGTACACAGCCTTGCTGGGCACCGGTGTTGAGGATTATCGTGGGGGGGCTATTGTCGCCTACCCTTACTGATTGTGGTCTGTGGGTCAGGAATCGAGGATCCAGTTGCTGAGTGGGGAACAAAGTCCTGGGTTTCAGAGTTTAGTTGGAATTATGGTGTTGAAGGTGGAGCTAAGATCACTAAGTAGGACATCTATGTCAGATTCCTCGATGTTCCAGGTAGTGCAAGGCCAAGATGGCATCTGCCATGGACGTTTTGCAACGTTGGGCGAATTGTGATGGACCAAGGCAAATGGGAAGTTGGAGTTCATATGTGCTATTACTAACTTCTCGAAGCACTTCATAATGCTGGATGTCACAGCCACCAGGTGGTAGTAATTAAGGCATACTACATTTTTCTTGGGCACTGGGCTGGTAACAATCTTCTTGAAACAGACGAGAATCTCACATCGTAAAAGGGAGAGGTTAAAGATGTCCAAGAGTACTCCTGACAGCTAGTCCACACAGGATCTGAATGCGTGGCCAAGGACTCCATCCTGGCCAGTCACATTGTGGGTTCACACTCAAGGCAGCCAATTTGAAGTCTTCAGCCACGATTGTAGGTACAAGTGAACCAAAGCTGTCAGGGCAGGTGACATAATTTCACTGATCTTCCATTCAAAACAAGTATAGAATGTACTGAGCTCACTGCAGAGGGATATATTGTTGTCAGCAATTCTGTTCGACTTTGGCTTGTAGCCAGTTAT